GCTTTTCTTTGCAAGCTTCTTTGACTACGATGACCTGGATGACTGAGAACCTTCACAGAAAACTGCTTAGTGTACTTTTTTCAGACATTTCATTGTCAAGGATTTCACCAAGTCTCCTTTTTAGGGAGTTTCAGGGAGACAGAACGCTAATTCCTCTTTATTGGAACTACACACCAGCCTTTAGGGATTCAGTACAAAAAAAAGTATTTTACGTTCTAGAAAGCTGTTTGACCCAATGATTCTGAGGTAACTGTAGAAATATTGTATTAACATGACAAAGTAACCTTTCAGGAAGGTGTGCTTGCATGAATTAGCCAACAAAGCTGAGCAGGATTGTTCTGAAACAAATATTTTGCTATTTATTTATTAGCTATACATTTAGCTATTCTACTAAATATAGGGGTTGACACAGTGACATCATCATTATCAAAATACTGAGCCACTTTACACTTAAACCCATGCCACTTTTACGCTATGATTTTGTATACTTGGGCCATTGAGCCTAAAATCAGCTTTAATTCTAAGATAAAGCGGTGTGGCCTAGTACTTCTATCTTTATACCTTATACCTTAGTAAGGTTATAACTAAAAGCTACGTAGTTTGTTTGGCCCCTCCATAAAAATGTCTACTGTATGGGCATCAACCTTCACCCCTTGGTTTTGATTGCTGTGGGCAATGTTTGAAGGCGTCCAGTATAGCTGTGAGATACCCCAAGAGTTCATTTTCTGTGCACCAATCATTACTGTTGATAGCTGGTAAAAGAGAAATTGCCCTCAGTTTTAGAACCAGTGGCATTAAGATGCAAAAATGCATTTCCTCCTTTGTTTGTACTCATGTACTCAGAATAGAAGTTGGGGGGGAGTGGAATTTACCAAGCATGTCCAAGTGACCTTAAAATGAAAGGAACACAGTGCAGTGATACTTGCTTCTAGAACAGACTTTAGCATTGGATAAGATCTATTAGTAAAAAATGTCCTCAAGTTAAGAACATGAAAAGCAAAGAAAAGTAATGAGGTAGTAATCCATCAATAACAAAGATGGAATAATTTTTGTGAAACAATTACTTTAAACAAACCCGTGTTTTGGACTTGAGAGCTAGCCCTCTATTTAAGTGAACCAGGCTACACACAGTGACCACACTAGCCCACAGTGGATCAAGGAAAATTATGATACTTACCCAACAGTCATAGCCTTAAAATCTATCCCCATGGCAGCAGGTAAGAAACACGAATCAATGATTTGGGAAGAGCAAATTCAATGGATTCAATGGGCAATATTTGTATTTGCAGAGACGTTTCCTCTGGAACGTCTGTCTTTTTAAAATGAAGAACCCCTGAGAGAAATGAAAGCATGTTGTGGTGTCTGTTTTTTTTTTACCAACACACTGGGTCATAACCTCCACTGGCCCTACTTTCTAGCTATTAATCTCCAACACAATGCCACTTCTGACAGGCATGTGTATGAGACATACTGTACAAATGACTCTGCTGCAGATGCATGAAAGTGCTTGCAGATGCTCACAGTCACAGGCCGCCACTGTAAGAATATAAATGCCCCTCACCCATTCATTCATCCTCTGTCCAAAGCTCCGGTGTCTCCCTAAGAGGTGAGCCCAATAAGATCTCCTGCAAAGCTTTTTTTCTCCTCTCTCTGAACAGTTGCTCAGAGATGCAACACGGTACTGCTGCATTTAATGAAAAAAAACATGTCTCAAACAGCATATGCACTGTAAGGAAAAAAAAGTCACACTACATCAGGAATTTTCCACCTCCTGCTCACTACGACTGTGCATCTGTTGTTCACAGCTATCCTGTTGAGAAACATCACTCATGTACATGTAGAGGAAAAAGCCCTCTGCGTATGTGCATGTGTAGTTGTGTGTGTGTGTGTGTGTGTGGTTTTGTGTGTGTGTTGTTAGTCAGTCATGCGGCCACAGTAATCTCCCTGAGTGCCGCCTGTTTCTCTGTAAGGCCTGACTCAGACAGAGATGACCTCACCACCGAATGGCAGGTTGTATGTTTTCGTGTCAGCAGGGGTTGGTTTGGCGTGAGTGTGTGTGTGTGTGTGTGTGTGTGTGGGTGCCTGTCAGTTTTTATATTGTTGTTGCGAAGACCTAAAAAGGAAGAGGTTTGATTCCCTTACATTAAAGCGCTGCTGCTCGAAGCTTCATCGCACTCCAGAATGATTAAAGGATGACTTGACGTCTATAAAAGCGTCACCTGCTTGTCATGGGTTAAAAGAGATGAAATGGAGGAAGATTATCGCAGATGCCAGCTAACGCTCTCGGGGGAACTCACATCATCCCTCTGTTAGCTTCTTCCACTCCTCCAAACCCTCATCTCTGTTCTCCGCTTCCATCCAGATCTCTAAATCTCTAAACCTTTCCGCTTCAGCCTTGAAACGACAGACATGCAGAAATGGTGTTGGGTTTTGGTTTTTTTTCCCCTCCTTCAACCTTTCGTTCCCCTGCCTCTCATATGATTCCCTTGAGTATTACACACCGCTGTCACTGTGTGTGCATGTGTGTGTGTCTGTGGTGCGCCACGCTGAGGGCCTCTTTATTTAAGAAATAGCAGCTGCACAGAGAGTGAGATACAGAGAGAACGACTTTTGAATGTTGCTCAGTAAGGGCACCCTCAGTACTTTCAGTCGCTTGTAGCTGTGCACGTGCAGGTTAGGATGTGCATATGTTCTGTAGCACAGTATACACACACATGCATATGCATCCATTAGCAACATCATTATCCATAAATGCCACACCTGCGCACTAACATTAGCCAATATAATCACATTTAAACTTATAAAATATATTTTGTTTTCGTTAATACTGTATACTGATAGCACAGACTGTATATAAAAGATGGAAATAACTGGCTCTGACTAAAAAAATGTTCATGGACTCTTTATTCACATGTTTGTCTCAATAAGCTCGCCCTGCTTGACTGTTTACTTACAATACAATGTACACTGTACAGTAACTGGCTCGATGGAAGAAGACTACGATGGTCCAGAGAGGTCAAATAGATTGCAACTTAAGTAGCAAATAGAAAAATGCTGCAAGAGCACACAAATAACAACAGAAAAAGAAAAAATAATGGCACAGACCAAGTGACAGAAACTAAAACGTGAAGGATTTCCCTCAGACACACTTAAAGTGGTCTTAGTGCTGTGTCAGGCCCATCCATCCATTCGCTTATCCTTTTCAGGGTCGCGGGGGGCGCTGGAGCCTATCCCAGCTCTCATAGGGCGAGAGGCAGGGTACACCCTGGACAGGCTGACAGTCTGTCACTGGGCTAACACACAGAGACAGGAAACCATTCGCACCTATGGGCAATTTAGATTGATCAATTAACCTATCCCCACTAATTGCATGTTTTCGGACTGTGGGAGGAAGCCAGAGTACCTGGAGAGAACATGCAAACTCCACACAGAAAGACCCCGGCCTGATGCTGGAATTGAACTTTCTTTTCGTAAATATGCTTCCTTTACTTCCCATCCCTTCGCTATTCTCCCTTAGTTTTTGTCAGTAATCAGCCTAAAAGTTGAGATATTTGAGTATTCAGTGGAAAAAAAAACCCCACCAAATGCACACTGCCATGTCTGCAGCTAAAAATACCAAACTTTCAGCTGAGAAACTGGAACAAGAAAGACGATCACTTCCAAGTAACTAACTGTGGCTGCCAGGATTGCTTGTCATTTAGTCTTACCAGTCAGCTAACTTGAATTGTGATTCTTTGCATTTGCTACCCACCAATCAGCCCATCTGTGGTATTCACATGTGTGATCCTCTTTGTTTCTCTTTCTCATATTCTAACATTCAGTTTCTCACTTTGCTCTGTCTTCCTCTTTCCGTTGCACATCACGCCTCTTGACTTTGAACACTTCATCAGCATGGGCAGAATCAGCCTGTGTGTGATACAGTGACTCACATGCACCCTGGCTGACCACCCACAGATGCTGCTGCTGCTGTTGTGCTGCGTTGCAGAGAGAGTGGTTTTTCTTCAGTTTTGCACATTCTCCCAGAGTCTTTATGTGTGTGCATTTGTGTGTCTGATGCAACTAGCTCGGTAACTAAGGTCTGATCAGATCTCAGGTGGTCTGCTTCCTGTCAGTAGGCTAAATAGGATTTCCCCAAAATCATATTTTGCAGCCCTGCTCTCCTTTATGAGCAGGAGCTCACTCAGCCACAGTCTGGTGTAATATTCGCTTCATTTACTTTGCCTCTGTAACCTCGTAACAGCGCTGCCATCAGCACCTTCAGTATTTATAGTCTGAACCTTGAGCTGCTGTTCCTTTTGTTAAAGCATCTTTATAACAAGACTTTTGCACCCCTCCTCTTTTGTTTGTCCTGTATCTTTCTCTCTGTACCGCGGTCTTGTCCTGCTTTCACAAATTTCATTTCCTCCTTTTCCCTCTCTCTCTCTTTTACCTTCATCATTTCTCTAATTCCCCCCGGCTCCCCCTTCTTCCCTTTCTCTGTCTCTCCTGCAGAACCAGACTGGGCGTCGCTGACTTTGGGTGTGTTTGTTTGCCAGGCCTGCTCGCTCCTTCACCGGAGCATCCCACACATCAGCCGGGTCAAGTCTGTCCAGGACACATGGGATGCCAGCGACGTGGAGGTAGGGTGGGAATGTCAAAAATCTCCGCTTACCTTTAACCTCAGTCCACTTGCTGACATTTGATGACATTTGACATTTGAACAATAAAATGAATGTGAGACAAGGCTTCCACAGCATTGAATTCCTACACTCCTACATTTTGTGTCGAGAGAAAGAGATGGAGGACTAACGCTGCTGTTTTGCTAGCATACTGCTCGCACTACGCCTCCACAGCGTCAGATGGTTTGGGGTCACAGGCAAGCGACAACTACGATTTTCTCAAGAGAATACAGGAGGAGGTGTAGTCTGATCAGGTGTAACACACGGTGTTTATCAGGACAGCATCAAATATTTTTTTTTAAAATATGGCAATAAAACCAACTTTGCGATGCTATTAAATTACTGTGATGATAATGTCGTGAACAGAGCTTTAATTTAACATCAAATACAATCCACCTCCTCTGTTGTGCAGGAGGCACAAGTGCACAAACTGTTTGCATACTGAAGCAACATTAACATCCGGCTCTATATGTTAATTTCAGTGGAGTTCAATTCATTTTTATTTATATAGCACCAAATCACAACAACAGTTGCCACAAGGTGCTTTATACTGTAGGAGCCTCTAATAATAGAACGAAAATCCCAACAATCAGACGACAACCTATGACGAAGCACTTGGCAAGAGTGAGAAGGAAAAACTCCCTTTTAACAGGAATAAACCAGGCTCAGGTAGCGGTGTAGAGCTAGAGATTAATAGTAACTATTGATTAATTGAAGAGTGGTGTATAAACACAGAGTGGAAAGAGGTGAGTGAAGAAGAAACACTCAGTGCATCATGGGAAGCCCCTTAGCAGTATAGACCTATTGTAGTCTAACTAAGGGACGGTCAGTGTCTCTAAAAGTAGAGAAGGTGTGTCTTCCTTGGGGGGCGTCTGAAAGCTGAAGGCTCTGCCTCCCATCCTGCTTTTAAATACCCTAGGAACCACAAGTAAACCCGCAGTCTGAGTCTGATTTGTCAGTTGGACATGGAGAAAGGTATCAGCTAAGCCATCAGCTGATGTGGGCAGACAGTGAGATCACCTGATATTCAGGGATTGCTAAACAACTAGCCTGTCCTCTGTCTGAAGGTAGCTAAATCTGCCAGCAACTTTGGAACTAGAGACTAGAGATTTAAAATTAATTGATTTTTATTTATTTTACAAACCTGGTGGAAAAAGCCAGCCAGTGTCAATTCAAAAGAGAATTCAAAGGAAATCATTGTATTATTATTAATATAGTTTGTGAACTAATTAATTTAAAAATCAATTTTACAATCTCTTTGGTTAGACATAAATGGACAAACCTTTAGATGTGGATTGTTATGAAATTAGCTAAAGCTGATGTAAAATATTTTTGATACTATAATGTATCATACATACAAGTATTAGTTGTGAGAAAGTTGCTTTAAAAACCTATGAAAGCAACAACCGCAAACAATGGTCAGGTTGTAAAGTGAGCCACTCAGTTTAGTCAACTAGCTAACGAGGTGGCAGTATGGTTTTTTTCATCACCATTATTCAAGGCAGCTACAGCTGAAATATTTTATAAACATAAGCTTTCATGCAATCTAAATGGATGCCTTATATTATTATTCATCTTTGTACAGTTGTCAAGAAAGTGGAAAATAGCCATAGAGACCAATTTTTTTTTTGCAGGCTGTGCTTTTAATATCTGTGGGGTCATTTTAGAACTAATGACCATTTGGGGAACTTTCGACTTTCACACATGTGGCTTGGCTTCATGTTTTAGCACCGGAGATGGTTGTTTTTAGCAACTTGTAGCATCATAACTAAAGTGGTGGTGTTAAAAGTTGTAGCAAACAGTTCCTTTTGTTAGGATTGTCTTTTGAGTCGCTCTTGCACTTGTTTTAGTAAAATGGCTCCTAGTTTTACATTTTGTGTGTTTTGAAATGTGTCATTCCCAAAATCGCACATACCTTTGAAATCCACTAGTTAACACCATGACAATTGTAAAAGCAATGGAAAAAATACTATTCGCCAAATGGTTGTGAATGTTTGGTGGAGGCTAATGGCAGTTGCTGGGAGAATGATTGCTAAAGCCCCTGTCATGTGGCCTAGAGACCAATCAGTGACCCCCCCCAAGCCACATGTCACTTGGCAACAATGTGCACTCCTCAACCAGTTAGCAAAACCCCCTTGTGTTTGCTTTGGTTGCTAGCTTATTGCTAAATTGCTAAACCATTTGCTTTCAAATTAAAAGTTGTGCCTTTTGAAACATATTGGCCACTGCTGAAACAACTTTTACTTTGACAACAAACTTTCATTTCCAGTTTTTATCACACTTTTTCAAGTCGTATTATTGCTCGGCTAATAGGAACTATTAGTGCTGGGATTCTGCTAGCAACCAAAGAATTCACTAGGATATTATTGGCAACTGATTTCAGCTGGCAGGAGCCAGCAACCTCCAGAAACCACTGCCAACCAGTGGGGGAATACATGATGTATCACTGGAGGTGATACAACCAGTGACTGTGTCACTTCCGCATGACATCGCATGAGGAACCTGAATAGAAATCTATGAGAAAGCAGCTTTCTGTCTCGACTTCTGTAAAAACTTTCTTTGAATTTTCTGAATTTATGGGCTCAGTCACTTTTGGGTCATACTGTGTTTCAAAAAGGGATATTATCCATGGTATGTTAGTTAGCAACGTGGAAAGGCAAGTCATTACCCAGTGAGCAAGCAGTTTCACAATCAGAATTGCTCTTCTTTGTTACATCCAGTTTTTTAAAACCAAGATGGCGGCGGTGCAAACGTTAATCTTTTCTGCCTATGGCTAACTTCAAGCCAAACAGTTTATTAACTCAGAGAAGTGAATAAACTATCAATGTTTTATATCAGCTGAGTTTAAATGTTTATATTCTGTTATGAGTCGATTGAAATAACTGCTAGAATTCTTAATTCTTCACGAATATGTGCAAATCCCAATATAAGCGTGCATATTTCATATGTGACTGTACCAAATACATTCAAACAAAAACAAAAACCATGGTAACTGAAGCTTAAGCATCACTATTGTTTCTATGGAAACAAATCAGTCAATGGACATGTGATATGGACTTAGTAATGTGACAGAATTAAAAAAAATGAGGAGGAGCGATGTCATTTAAAGGAAAAGTGGTGGGTTTTTGAAACCCAGGGCATCTCTGTCTGTTGACACATTCATTATATTTCTAGATTAGCCATAGTGTTTTTCTTCAGCATAGAACAAAAGGCTGCATGATCACAGTCAGAGTCTCATGTGGCTTGATACAGCCAGTATTGATCTTCCAATAATACTTAGATTTGCTGTGATGCCTGTGCCCTGATATGTGAATTATAACCAGCTCCATAATTCTGACCTTCAGTCCAACTCTGACTTCCCAGTGGAAGGAGAATATCTCACCATATGGATCAATAAGCATTATTAGTAAAATAATAGTTTACTCTTTTCCCTTGCGTGCCTTGCGATCATGTCCCGGTCAGAATACATCTTCAAGGCATCCTAGTACCTCCCCTGCAAATGTGTAAACACAGAATGCATATTTGGACTTCTGTACTCTGCTGGGGATAAATAAAGTTGTCCGTGAATGAAACAGTGTTGGCGCTCAAAGACTGTCAGTCTGTGACAAAAAGGGACTCAGGGGGCGGTGATGTGAGTCACCAGGAAGGTTGAAGATGTGGGAGGACAGTAATTGGAATGTTATGGGGATTTGACTTAAGGGGTGAGCAGTGGGGGTGTTAGCGAGGAAAATGGAAGAAAAATACACAGGAAGGACAGAGCATTTGGATAAAACCAGAACAAAAGCACATTTATTGGCGGATGGGGGATGCATTTGATTGAGGTACGGGAATACACGAGGGCTTTGTGACATGCGTTTGGGTTAATATAATTGGGAGTGTTTTAGGATGATTTTGAGATCACTGTTGAGACCTCTGGAGCTCTGTTTTGGTCCCATACCAATAAAATGTCAGTAATCACACAGCAGTATTCACTTTATTAACTGAACATGGCTTATATTGGGATCAGTGGAAATGCGTCTGTGGTTGTGTCCAGCTAGGTGCTACAAATCACAAGGATATTACTTCATTTTGTTTTGGAATTATAATACCACATTAGGCTTTATTTACACCATGTACTAATGTTTAATCTGTATCTGGACACATTATCTTACCCTTGCTTTTAATGGCGCAACGGAGCAGGCTCAAAAATATAACATAAGACACCACATAATACACCAGAATCTCATTTTTGATTAAAGGCTGGTCATACACCGACAGGGCTAGCAATCCAGGCGAAGACCAAGAAAAAGAAAAAGTGCAGAAAAAAGTCCCGAAGGGTAACAATGAGGATATGAACAAGAAGCACAAACCCCAGGAAGAGAATATGAGGAATATAACTAGGAAACTGTCTAGAAAGCTTAACTTCCAAGACAATCTGGCATGTTACAGAGAGACAAAGAAGTATATATAGTAAAAGAGAGTAACTGGTGAAAACAAAGTAACTAGATACATACATCACTAAAAATGAGAAAATAAAATGGGAAGTGGCACAACAGAAACCCAAAACCGTGACTCAAATATTGCATCTAAATGCAAATAAGTGAGGGGGCAGGCAAGCAGGATCAGGGGAAGCAGTTCTCCTTTGTGGGCTTTTGTCATTACTGGTACTAACTGGGGTCTCATAAGTTACCAGGATGAAGTCGAGCTGGAGCTTTCACCTTGCTTCGTGTGGCTGATTCAATCTCAGTTACACTTTATGCATTATGCACGTTCTTTTTTTTTTATCCTTGCCCAGACTACACTGCACACTGCTGCATATTTATCAGTATATAAATTGAATCAGCTTTGCTATTTAGATGGATATGTATGTGCTTAAGCAGTTGGATCTATAATAAATTAGACTGTAGATAACGAGAAGTGATTCAGTCTCATGTGCTATTGCAGTGTAAACCATGTTATCATGAAGATCGGGTTTAGCCGTAACTGAAGGTCATGCTCCGCAGAAGCTTGAGACAGTTAAGAGTGGGTTTTTTTTCCAGCCGTCTGGTGTAGTTAAAAATTCACATGAAGGAGAGGCACACAGTGAATGGATGTGGTACAGAGGTGATTATACCAAATGACAGGAACAGCTGATTCAACATTGATTGATTTCATGTTCATTCAAGGTGCCAAATTCATCATTCGTCACATGAGATGAATTTCAGTGGCTTTCTTTAGAAATCTGCTTCTATTTGACGTTCACAATAAAATGCCACAGTGCTGCATCATTCCCCAAAGTCCCTTAAAGGATAAGAAGAAGCGTACTGAGGGATTGTGCCAGCTGGATTGAGCTAAGGGATTATCCTAGGATGAAATGTACGACGGAGGGAACAAGGGCAGGAGGAAAATGTGTCCCAATGCAGTGTGGCCATTTCCACCCTTAATCCCATAAGAAAGCCAGAGCCTTATTGTCAAGTGAACAAGTTCTAACATACTTAAGGTTTTCTGTGCTATAGCCCACTGTTTTTAATCTAATTTAAAGTTAAATGTTTCTTCCTGTTATTATTGTTAATGATAGTAATAGGATTAAAACCAATATTACTGGTGCTGTTATTACTATAAATATAATAAACTTAATGCAGGTATGTCCCCAAGTAAAGTATAGCAAAATTATGGTTCATTAAAAACTGGGTAGATAAAATGTATCTGGTTTTCCATTTAACCTTGATATCTGAAATGCAGTATTAAATATTGAGCTGCGGACAGTGTTTTGATGACTAGGTTTTTCTTTCTGTTTTCCTTTCAGTTAATGGCTGCAATGGGAAACAGTGCAGCCAAGGCCAAATATGAGCAGAAGGTTCCGGCTTTCTACTATAGACCAACACACACTGACTGCAAGTAAGTACACCTTTCAAATTAATCTCAAAACACGAACACTAGAAAACACAGCCTTGTGTGTATAAAGTTTTAATAGTTGCACAAGCAGTTTATGTTTAATGTTAAATTAGCTTATTCTTTTTTTGTTAGCTAGCGGGTGACTGTGTGCTAGGACTGAGTGAACTGATGTTAGGCCCTTTCCTGTCAAAGGAACTTGTTTTTTCTGTGTGTCAGGACAGCAGGAACCACTATTTAGGACATTTCTTAGGGCTGTTTTGGTTTGTAGAAAAAAGTATATGTTCTGGGCTAAGTGGAGGCACAGGATACAGCCCTAAAAACTACTAGACAAGGTTGATTAGCTAAACCCAGAGAAGACAACACAAACAACTGCCATTTCTGTCCTCTTGATAACTACCAGTCTTATCTCCGTTGCCATTTAGTTAGCCTACGTGGCAAAACCAAACCCATCTTGTTTCCCTCTATGCTTCCTGTAGTGTAAAGTCCACTTTTGTACATTTTCAAAGTTGAATACAGAGTAATGTGTAATGAAAAGGTTGGGTTTGCTGGGAAATCTACTTAATTATTATATTAGCTTTGCAAGTATTACATTCTTTCTTAAAGGCCTAATGAAGGTAGAGTGAACTAGTGCTTTCTGTACTTAAAGAAATCACAATGGCTGCTCTGAAAAAAGCAGAAGCAAGCAAGTTATAAGAACATTCATAACAGCGACTTGGGTTTAGGCCAATTAATTCATTATGACTATACTTATGTGATTGTGTTCATTTGTGGTGCAAAGTTTTCTGATAGTAGCTGGTATATGTGCATTTAATACACACAGAGCCAAACGTGCTGCTATACCTATTAGCTAGGCGCTAACATTGGCCACCGTTTGGTGCTGGACAGCTAATTGCAGTGTACTTTTATAGCATTTGAGCTAAAAAGAAGCTGCATGTTTGTTCAGGAAACTGCTGTAGATTGTGTATCATGTGTTATATCACGTGTTAATCACATTGATCAGGAAGCATCACGTTCTCTTATTTTGTGTGTATGAAAGGCCATGAAAAGCAGTGTGGTTTTGTTTGTGTCATTATTTTTACTGTAAATCTGCAGGGTTTTATTCAGCATTTCTGAATATTCTGGAGGCTGTTGTGTAGTACACACTGCACCAGCATGTGCTTTGAATCAGCCTCAAATAGTACTTGAGGTAGCAAGGCTTTCATTTCTTGGCATTTTAGGAGTGTTGTTCCATTTGTCTCCTTGTCTTCCAGTGAATTTAATGAAAAGAGACAACCAAGAGAATCCAAAAGACTGACAGAAAGCCTAGAACTAGAAGTGAGAGAAATACCCTTCTCAGTATCAGCTGTCTGTTTGTGCTCTCACCCAGTGTCATCATTGGGTGTCATTTTAAAAAAATTGCCAAGAATGTTTACCTCTAAATGTTGATAAAATAGTTAATGTATTTCCTCTGTGCAGAAAAAGAGATGGTGTGAGCCGTTTAGAGCATGCTGGGGAGAGGCAGAGAAGGAAACAGGATGAGAGAGATTGTTGGCATGGCGATGAGCTGCCTTTTTGTTTGTTTTTTAGCAGTGAGAAGGAAGAAGGTTTAAAAATGAGATTGCCACCTTTACATTAGGCTTTGGTACAAGGCTGTGATCAGGTTGCTTTGAGTTGCATTGCAATAGATATCTATGAGTGTTATATGAGTAAAAGCTTAATGGATATTCCATTATTCTGTTTTATTGAGGATTAAGTAACAAATCTAAAGATGCAGCAGGGATGAATTAAGAAGTGCTGCCATGGCCATTGTAAAACTAAGGAAGAGGTTTATAAAAAAAATAACATGTAAAGCACATTCTTGTAAAGGTACATGTCACACCCTCCTCCTATTCCGGGATATACTTCTATTGCTGTAAGCATTTTATGAATGATGATGATATTTGTGACATTTTTTTTGATATGGCTTAGATTATTTAACAATTCAAACTATTTTATTTTGACGGGACACTGAAGCTGTCCGAAGTTTCTTCTTCCTCCTTAGGCTGTCAGCAGAATTACAGTGGCCATAAAAAGCCACTTAACTATATCTTATAATCAATTTGATGAGTTATGATCAGTTTTTGTTTGGTCAGTAAAGCATAGAAACTGGTAAGCAACTATTTGCCAACCTCTGGTTAGTAGGGGAAAATGTGTATTCCCAATCTGGTTGGCAAGTGGTTGTGGGAAGTTGCTTGCTTTTGCTTGGGTGAAGTAGGTCCCAAAGAGGGTGTAGAGACAAAAACCTTTGTGTTGCTTTGGTTGTGCCCTACCACTAACATGCACACATTTCTAAAAGCTCAATTTTTGCTCTGAAGGCAAATGCTCTTATCGCTTGGTAGGCAATTTGCAAGTGGTTGCAGACCAGTCGTCATCATCTATTCAACTATGGTCAGCTGTGGTAATCAACTAATGGCCAAAGAAGTGGCAAGAAGGTTTTTGGTGCTGCACCAGATACCTCTTAATGACCAATTTCTCCTAGTGACAGCAAACAGCTTCCCACAACCACTCGCCAATCAATTGGGGAATAGAGATTTTTCCATAGCGACTGGTGGTGGAGTCACTGGATGGTCTTTAGTTCTATGTGATCTCCAGCAACCACTCACATCTGGTCAGGGAATACTCACTTTCTCTAGTGACCGGTGCTTTCAATGGGGTCACTAACCAGTCTTTTAGCTTGCGTGTCTGTGACCTTAGCTTCACTTAGTTCAGATGGGTCTTAAATATTTCATCACAGTATTCCACTATTTTAATCTCCTCTATGTGTTGGGAAAGTGTACAGGTGACTGCATGGTTAAGTCAGAAAATTCAAGTTGGAAGCCAGGAGTAATGCATTTGGCATATGTGAACTGCCAGGAGAACAAGTAAGAGAAGACCTTTGCCAGCTTGCTTGTTAGACAATAAGAAGATGCAAGTTTAAACACAAATGTCCTCAGAGTAGCAGTTTATCTTGGAGGTGAAAGCCAGTGACTGAAAAGTGAAGAATAAAACCATGTAGTGTGTCCAAGTAGGGCGGGGTATCGTCACTGATTTCTAGAATCGATTCGATTCCGATTCACAAGGTCCCGAAACATTCGATTCAATTCTATTTGTATCTGGAAAATTTTGCCTCAGAAAGTCAGAAATATTCTAATTAAAATCAGTACATTTACATATTTTTGTATCTATAAAAAGGAAGCTGACACACACAAGACTTTATCAAAGGTGTGAGCATCACAGCAGATGCCTTTGTGTCAAAGTAGCTGAAGATAAAACACAGAAAAACATGAAGGTGATTTTCCTGGCCTGGGATTTTATAAAAATATTCTGCAGTAGATCAAAAACAAAAGAAAACCATTAATCAACATATGAACATTGCCTCTGAAGTTACAGCGGTTTTAGTAGAGACACGGCTAAGCGTTTTGCATTTTGCATAATTTTAAAAAGTTTCAATTTGTATTGAACAGCAGAAATGAGGCTTTCTTTTCGGAAGTAAGTAAAAGGAAAAAAACATCGGCCAACAGCGCTGTAAATAACGGTAGACTTGTGCATAACAAGCAAGCAAATAATGCAGAAAACAGATTTTTAGATGGGAAACTGTTGTTGAAGTCCAGAGAGAGCAAGAGAGAGAGAGGGAGAGAGAGCTGTGCATGA